CGAGGGTTGCGATCCCGTTACTGGTCAGTAAAAAAAGACAAAAAAAGGAAAAAAAAAAAAATTTGGGACGAAATACTTTTTGCTGACTGGCAGTATTAGAAATATATTTGCAGGATTATAGGTGACTGTTTTTATCTTTTTGCTTATCTGTTGTTTCTATGTTTTCTATAGTGAAATGGTACTACTTTTATAATAAGAAAACAAGTGAAAAAGAAAGCTCCTGACAAAATATGTAAATGCCATATTGCTTCCAAAATATGTAAATGCCATTTCTACAGTGAATCACCCTAGTATGTGGGAGGTGGCCCTGAGCCATCAGGTGTTCATTGCTACACGGTAGCCCTAAGCATCCTCAGGGAGAACAGGTATGTTTGATAAGCTCTCTCTGAAAGGCATATATCAACATGCTTACAAGCTTGGACTTTGAGCCCAGGTGGCTTTCCCACTGCTGGAAAGGTTAGCTCTTGCATTTTGAAACAGGACATACTATAAGACCTGTGGTCTCTTCCCTGAATACGTTCAGAGGGACTGACTTGTTGAGATCAGATCTCTTTTGTGATCCTGGGAATAAGCAATGTAATGCCTACTACAAGCCACAGATTAATATTTTAGGGGATCCCTTTGATTAAGCTGTGATGACTTTTTTTTTTTTTTTTTAAAGATGACTGGTAAGGTGATCTTAACCCTTGGCTTGGTGTTGTCAGCATCATGCTTTCCCAATAGAGCTAACCAGCCATCCGTATATAGGGATCCAAACCCTTGGCCTTGGTGTTATCAGCACCACACTCTCCCAAGTGAGCCACAGGCCAGCCCTTTTGATGACATTTTAATTGGTCCTATTTTAGGGCAACTTCTCAATCCGGACAGCCAAGATACAGCAAAATGTGTGTGACACTATCATCCGCATCTTTAAAAGACATGGTATGTCCTTTTTTAAAAATTACATTCCTTCTCATAAGATGTTTTTTGGTTTTTTTCCTTTTCATTGTTAGAAAGTAGTGTTAATGGATTTGAGTACAACCATATTTTACTTTTAAATTTAGTTACAACTAATTGACCACACGTGAAATTTAAGCTTAGTTTTTGCAGTTCAGCTTGTTAAGGAGAAACTGATTTGAATATTGCAACCTTGTTACAAAAGATATAGTTGGTTTGTGGAGTCAGAAGGAAGACTAAGTTGACAAACTTAACCCTACATGAGCCCTCTATTTGTAAATTTAGAAAATTGAAGAAAACATGATGATGATTTCAATGGTCCCTATAGCAGATTACTTAACTGCAAGTTTGTGTTCATTTTAGGTTGCCTCCTAGGAAGAATGAGAACCTGGTAATTAGTTATTTTTTCTAATTTGGTACAGGAGCTGTCCAGTTGTGTACCCCACTACTGCTTCCCCGAAATAGGCAAATATACGAGCACAATGAAGCTGCCTTGTTCATGGACCACAGCGGGATGCTGGTGATGCTTCCTTTCGACCTGCGGGTGAGGCTGGAAACAGTCTGCTGACAGTCTTGTTACCATGTCTGGTCACAGAATAGAGTCTCTCTGAGAAGATTGCTCCTATTGGTCATTTTCCCCCAGGCTTATATTCTGTCACCTTTAGGAAATGTATTCTTAAGGGTGAGAGCATTAGAGAGTTAAGTAAACATTTGACCCTGAATGAATCCATCTTGCTAATAGTGCAAGTTATGGCTGTAGGAACTGGAACCCTGTGTTGCAGGTGCCACATGTTCACCTCAGTGTTGAGCTCCGCCAAGTGATCATAACATGTTAACCTGGTCAACTCAGGCAAATAAGTGTAGTTTGGTTTTTTTACTTCTTGTCTAGATCTTCAGTAAAATCCTAACCTGTTAACGTCTAGAACAATTAAATTCTTGTAAAAGCAAGTATGTCTGCTAATTGGGTGTGCTGAGTTTTACCCATACTTGCTTTCTTCTGACCCCCAGAGCTCCCTCTGACAGCAACAATCTTACCAGTCATTCGCTTACATAGCGTTGGCTACTAGCAAGCCATCTGTGACACTGTATGACAGACCAGAGGAAAACACTCCATGTGTATGACAGTCAAGGGTGTAATACCCCTAATGTACAGAAAGCACTTATAAGTAGTTACGCAAGCAAAGGATATAATCAGGCAATTCTCAAAAGAGAAAATGCACATGGCTGATAAACTCCTGAAAAGCTGTTCAGCCTCACTAATAAGGAAATGCAAAGGTTTCTCAACTTCATCCTTCAGACTGGCAAAAATATTTAAATTATCATCATCCAGAGATGACAAGGGTATATAGGAAAATAGGTACTTTCAGATGTTGCTGATAGGAATGTGCATTGCTAAATCTTTAGAAGAGTAACCTGAAAGTTTCTAATAAAATTTTTAAAAATTTTATGCACATGCTATACCCTTTGAACTAGAAATCCCACTTTGAGGAATTTATTCAAAGAAATAAAAAGACATTAATTTATGAATGTTAAAAGGATGTTTATTGCCCTATTATCATGGTAGTCAAAAACTAAAAACAATCTCATGTTTTTCAATAGGAAAATGGTTGAATCACTTGCCGTCAATACTATGGAATATTAAGGAGCTATTAAAAAGAAAATTTAGACCTATATTTAGATCTAAATTTAGATCTATAAGATGAAAATACATATAGGTTTTTTAGATATATTCATATCTATATTTGATCTGTAGGAATATCCATGGTAAATTGTTAGCTAAAAGAAAAAAGTAAGTTTGCACTTGATATGTATGCAGGTATAAACTTGCTCTCAGTTATGTGAATGTTCGTGCACACCAGTTTGTGTATATCACCAAAGAGTAAGGTGTCAAAGAATAACTCAAACCTTTCTGGAGGAGATAATGGAATCAAAGCTTTTTTTTTTTTTTTTTAAATATCTGTGTTGTGTGGCTTATTGCAAGGACAGGTTTTTGCTCTTATGATTTAAGAGGAAATATCTTCCATATTCTTGGCTTCTGTTTTTCTTTTATAGTAAATAAAGTGGTTTGGGATTATTTTGAGGTAAAGGTGAATAAAAAGCACATCAGACATTTGGGATCTGTTAAAGAGAGAGTAAAAGTACAACCATTTATATAGCTATACTTAAAACTGGTTTCTTATTTTCTAAATATTAGGAGACTAAAGTACAGATTTTTAAACATCAGCTGCCTTTCTGTGAGCTGAGACTCAAATGCAAAAAATGAAAAGTGCTCTGTGAGAATTTGACCCATTAGTTAATGATACCATGTCAGATCTCTTGGGGCAATCTGACAATGGTTTTATAAGTTCATAAGTTCTGACTCTTATTTGTAGGTAGTTATTAAGAATTTCTCCTAAGACATTGGTAGGAAAATCAGGAAATTCATCTTAAAAGATAATACCCATTATGACTGCGTTATCATAAATAACTTCTTTTTTTTAAGTTCACTGGTAACCAGATAAACTTACAGCGATTTTAATTTGGCAGAGTACAGTATATTTAAGGAAAAGTGATTTTTTTCCAAACATAAAAAAACTAAGAAACGCCGTATATATAATGTTGATGGGATGGGTAGCAGTGGAGCCCACTGCCAACTAGAGCACTCAGGAACATTTCAAGAAGTGTGAATGGTGATTGGTGCACAACTCTGTGAATAGCCTAAAAACCACTGAATTGCATATTTTTAAAGGGTGAACTTTATGGTGTGTGAGTATATGGTATATTTCAATAAAGCTGTTATTAAAAAGCAGGAGAAGTGTGGTAGTTGGCACATCTTGACATTGACCTTTAAAACTTTGTTTTTCAGGTCCCTTTTGCAAGATACGTGGCAAGAAACAATATACTGAATTTAAAACGGTAGGAAACAGTAGGGGGTTCTACTTGATAGATGTGGGAAAGAAACCAAGGAAGAACGTTTTATCTTCTGTTATCCTTACACAGTAAAGAATTCTGGGTTCAAAGTACTGAGCTTGGAATATGGTCAAAAAGCCCAGCCACAGTAACACTTTCCATAAGGTGGCTAGGACTGGTGGCCTTCTCTTTGGAAGGAATGTGGCAGTTAGGTACCGTGGCGTTCCTGCAGTCTATTTTGGGCTTTCTAAAATGCCCCCAGGCAACATAACTAATTATTTTCACAAATGGTTGCTTGAAAAAACATCTGGCTGTTCTTGGTCACTGTTGACCCCTTTTGAAATTTAATTGGAGGGACAAATGGCCAATGATCTCTGTGTGAAAACTGCCTATAAGGTAACTGAACAAAAGCTGCCTGTAGAGAAGTAGAGTAAACCCAGCAGGAACGCTGAGCTGAGCACTGAGGATCTCCAGGCACTTAGCATTGGAAAAATGTTTTCTGTACATTCAAATACCACAGGAGTTGAACACTGAGATCTTCGTATATTGGAACAGTATTGTTGTCAGTGAGTCACCCTCCTTTAAAGCTCCTTTCTTCAACTGAAATCAAAGCTCTTTATGTGCTTTTATTCTAGCTACAAGTGAACAATTAATAGTCAAAATCCTAAGGTATGGTATTCCTGTGTAAAAGGCAATCAGTAAAAGTAAAATTATTTTTTTGTGTGTAATTTCATCTCTATTTCAGACATTAAAAAAAAAAAAATTTAAGCCCCATGGTTTAATGGTGGCAGAACTGGGAATTGGAACCCAGATCACAAGGCAAGGCTATTCTGGGACAGATCTCTCTTTAAGCCCTCTTGATCATACCACTGATTAATTTTTTCTCATATATGTATCTTTTATCTTATTCAACAATGTCTCATACATATTGGTTTCCAGTAAGCAATGACCCTAGAAATCTGGATTTCTCTCTCCAGATACAGCATAGAACGTGTGTTCAGACCTCGCAAGTTAGATCGATTTCATCCCAAAGAACTTCTGGAATGTGCATTTGATATTGTCACTTCTACCACCAACAGCTCTCTGCCCACTGCTGAAATCATCTATACTATCTATGAAATCATCCAAGAGTTTCCAGCACTTCAGGTTCATATTTTAACATTCTGAGATTACCCCCGCTAGAGTCCTTCACCAAGTGTGGTGGGCAAAGCCACAGCAACTTCAGACCTGCTTCTCGGTTTGTGCTGGCAATGAATCACATCTTCCTAAAGTAACTGAAACAAGTTTGACAATGTTGCTTTCAGGGCTCATCTCAGGCTCTTACCTCTACCTTAGCAGGAACTGCTTTTTGTTTTGGGGGATAGGTATTGTTTCTCCATTCATTCTTCCAAAATGCAAGAAATCGGCTGAGATTCCTAGGATACATATAACATGTTCATACCCTGTTCAGAACCATCAGTGGCTCCCTCCTACTTCCAGTCTCTTAACTCCCCAACTTATCTTTTCACCATGTTTGCACACTACAGGGACTGCTACCTGCTCTCCTCAGGCCTCCCCTCCCCATCCGACACATATGCCCTGTGGTCCCTGCCTCTGTTGTTCAAGTGCTCCCTTGCCTAGAAAGTCTTTTCTTTACCAGCCGTGGTTTGGGCCCTTCTCCCCAGGAAGCCTGACTGCTCCCTAATGGATTGGTTGACCATGTTTTCTTCTCAGCTCTCACAGTTCTTGGTATGGGACAGCCACACACAACCTTGAGTCAGGTTCGTTGTTTTCTCTAAGCAGAGTGTGTGTTCTTTCAAAACAGAGCCCACAGGTCCCCTTTTCCATATACCCCATTGCACCCAGCTCAGCACACAGCTCACCACTATGTGAATGCTCGTTAACTGACTCATGTGGGCAGAAGTACTGATAAGTATTCGGCCAGCCTGTGCTATAAGTCAATTACTATTGAACTAGATTCTTGCTTTTTATTCTAGCTGAAGACCAGTCAGTATTTTTGACACACGTAATTCAATAAAATTAGATTCTACTCTCTGACTAAAACTATGTAAAAAGAACATATATGAAAAAATAAACTAGGAGGCAATATGCTTGAAAATCAGTCCTTCTGTTGTGTTAGGATGATAAATTGGTGGTAAAGGTCCAGATTTGGTCATGTACCTATATTTCATAATGAAAATAATCATAATTTTTCTCTGTATCCCAGGAGAGAAATTACAGTATTTACTTGAACCATACCATGTTATTGAAAGCAATACTCTTACATTGTGGGATCCCAGAAGATAAACTCAGTCAAGTTTACGTTATTCTGTATGATGCCATGGTAAGCATTTAATTACCTTGACTTGACGTTGAAGGATGATAATAGTAATAGTTCATGGTTATTTTCTTACTGATGCAACCATAAAACTGAGTTGGGGGCTTTATCTCCTTCCCTCATTACTCTAAGGTGAAAGAACCAACTGGCTTTAATTACAATTGAGCTTTTTATTCTGTATTAAGCCCTGTACTACTAGTAACCTCCAGGGTGGCTTTTTTTTTTTTTAAGGGTAACTTCTAATTTTAAAAGATCAAATTATCTTATTTAATTTGTAAGGTAATAAAATTCTTTATTAACCTACTTCTTACAGCAAGAAATCTCTGAGTAACCAGTCCTGATACTTGCCAATAATAATTTTTAAAATAGTGACCTTAATTGAGCCCCTGTCCATATGCCAGGCATCGTTCTAAGCTCTCTATGTGGATGCACTGACTTCATCCCCACACCAGTGCTGTTATTGTCCTTCCTTTGCAGGGGCTGAGAGAGGGAATGTTAGTGTTGAGAATAAAAGATAATATGCCCTGCACTTAGTTCTTCCAGCCTGCCTGTGCTTATCAGTAAAGTCATTTATAGACTGGCATTGATTGAATTGGGGGCAGCAGCTTAAACCTCTGCTGGAGCCTCACTTACCACCTTCTTTCTGTGGGACTGGGGCTATGGCACATCCAGTTACCCTTCCCTAATTTAGCCACATTGTAGTATTTATTACTTTGTAGTACATGCACAGATACAGAGCCTGAAGGGGAAACATTGAGAAAAGAGTGTCATGATATGATGCTGAAATGGAGATGAATGCTTATCTCTGCTAATATCTTTTCCTATTAAATTTTGTTTTCATAATAAGTAAGAGGCATCCAGGAGTTGCAATAATTAACCGTGCGAGACAGTCTATGATTAAGGCAGAATGAATAGTGGAAGTCCATAATGGCGTATTGTCTTTTATACTCCAAAAGGCTGAACTAGCTTTTTTTTCATCTGATAAGTACACATCAAGGACCCAAACTTTACTGTTTGTTTCTTAGTGGTTTTTTCCTCCCCACAATGTGCTGCTGCTCTTTGGCAGTGGCAGATGTAATATAAAGTCAGTTGGACAGTGGCAGAAACCCCAGGGATTATGCAGAGCGGTGTCAGCTCATTCTTGTTCATATCCCGTAGCCACAGCCACAGTCCATTCACCAGTGTGGGATGAGATGCTCAGAGACTGGCTTTTACCAGGGGAACATGGATCAAAATGACTCCCTCCCTGCCCAAACAGAAATGCACTGGTTAAACCTGTCCAGATCTGGGCTGCCTCACCACTCAGCAAGTACAGCTCTCCCCTTTTTACTTCTTTTGTGTCAGGGTTCTTCAAATTTTAAAATAATGTTAGTGATGGTTTTATGTGAATTGGGAAAAAACTTTTTTTAATGGCAGGATTAAATCCATCCTTTACAATTAGGAACAGTTTGTCCAAAATGAAGGATATAATTAATTGTATAATTAATTGTATCAGAATTAGCCTGGAAATTGTATCTTGTTCAGGGCCAGATTTAGTGAGTCTCATCGTTAACTTTTTTCTTCTGCATTAGACAGAGAAGCTGACAAGGAGAGAAGTGGAAGCCAAATTTTGTAATCTTGCTTTGTCTCCTAATAGTGTAAGTACCTTCTAATGGTCTTATGACAGCTTTCTCTGTCATTTTGTGATACCAAAAAATGTCACCAAATTCTTGTTGCAGTAACGTGGCAGCACTTTCTACCACTTCACAGATGCAGTTTTTCCCTCGAGTGTTAGGTAC